GTCAGGCCTTCCCTGGCCAGGTATTTGATGAACAGCCGCCCGCCCGCCGGACTTCAGGTACTCACTACTCCAGGGCAGTGCTGGAGGGTGTGCCTGGCTCTTGGGCACTGGTTTAACCTCTGAGCTTCTGTTCCCTATCTGTACGGGGGATTGACAACTACACTGTAGAACTGCTGTGAGGTCAGCGAGAGCGAGAGCGAGAGCGAGAGCTCAATATGCTTAGAAGAATGTTTGGAGCTGACAGCAGTGCACGTGTGCTCGAAGGATCAGGATCTGAAGGAGGGAGACCAGCAGAGGCTGGTGAAGCTCCAGGAAGAGATGAGACCAGCCCTGAGCACAATTCTTACTCCGTGGGCAGCTACTGGACAGGCAGAGAGAGACAACCAAGGGATCAGGAGAGGAAACTCTACAGGCTGTTGGCAGGACGATATCAGGGGCAAGGAGGACAGCCTGGCTGTTTCTGGAAGCACATGTTGGGGGTACAGGATAGAATGGTGAGAATGGCGTGGCCAGGACTCTGGGCTTCAGACCATAGGAAGCGGGGGAGGCTGCTGAACATAGGACAATGAGGAAAATCCGTGTGAGCGAAAGACAAATGGTCATGGACAACTACGACAGGTGGCCTGGCAAGAGGACAACCATGTGAGGGACAGCAGAGAGGTGACCATGTCAGAAGTCCAGGTGATAAATATCTAACCTGGTAATTCCAGGGGTGAGAAAAGCAAAGTCTGAGACATTTCAAGGATGAATAGGCTTTGATAGATATTTCCAAAGCACCCACCTGCCCACCTCAACCACAGATCTCTTCCTGGCGTCATCACTTCTGTGTCTGTTTTCCGATATCCCTGAAATTGTGAGCATCTCAGACCCACTATGTAAATCCTACTGTTTCATCTGCGTGTCCAGCACCCCCAGGAAGGACTGCAGTAAGTGCTGCAGATTCTCAAAGGGAGGAACAGGGGAAGAGCACAGTGGGCTTGCAGCCTGACGAGAGTGGGCAGCTGCCACGAAAGCAGAGGGATGCTGGGAAAGAAATCTGCCAGACAGATGAGCTCAGTTTGGGATGTTCTGACTTTGAGATAAGGGGCAAACCACCAAAAAGTAAAAGTGAAAAATAAATAAAAAAGAAAAAGAAGGGAGTTGCTGGTAGGTGTCACTTACATTTGGGGTTCTAAGATGTTCTGTTATTTGAGTTACGTCTCTCAGGGGTCCTTTGATAATGCTGGGATGCTATGTGGGCAGATCAGGCCCTGACTGCATTCTCTACAAAGGGATTAGTTATGGGCCTCCTTTAAATAAGGCTCATCTAAGACCCACACACACACACCACAGCAAAACTATGACATTCATAAAATCCCCTTTGGAACCATCAGTATTCAGAGCAGGAAATACAAAATCCCTACCATCAGGAATGTAAGGACTTTTACCTTGTGACAAGGAACCACGCGATCTGACTGAAGTCTGGAGAGGGTCTCATGTACGTCTTGATATGTGGCATGGCGTTGCTGCGGCCAGACGTCTCAGCCGACCATTTGCTAGTGACAGGAAAGACACAATCACTGATAAGAAAATACAAATTGGTCATCTTCCTAATATTAGCAAACGGCATGAAAAGCAGATTCTTATTATCTAAAAACCAGAGCACACAGTTCTCTTCGATATGACCTGTGGTATCTTCTTAAACTCTGTTCAGACAGCAGAATAATGCATGTTCATTTTAGAGTGCAGGTATGTAGACAAAAAATGTACCTCCACTCACAAAAAGCATCTCTTGGCACCTGACACTCCTGGCTTCTATGCCATGAATACCCACATGCATGCAAAAACTGTTGTGCTTTTAACAGCACGTCTTCACATTTTGTCTCCTAGCTGGACTGTTTCTAAAAGTTCGAACAGTGCTTCCACACGCAGTACTGAGTAGAGGATCAGTAAAAGTTTGCGGATAAAACAAAATACAAAATGGAAAAAATACAAACAATATGAATATCACAATGGAAAGTTGAAAAGCAGGAGGATAAGTCAGAAATACTTTAGTCAGATGTTGATATTTGCATATCTTGCACTTGGTTTCTAAGTTTCCAACATTATAGGACTCAGGGGCCATGGGGAAAAATGACCTGTACCTCGAGGCGACAACTCTTGCTTATCAGAGGACGGGCCTCGAGAGAACAGACTGACTGCAGAGACCGATCAAGATTAGGCCCATCATCAGATGATGCAATGCACTGGAAGGCAGACAATACTGGGAGGCGCTCCATCTGAAGAAACACCCTCTGGAAGGAACCACCTCCCAAGAAAGCATTAAAGAAAGGCTCCTGGTGGCATCCCGGGTTAGACTGAAAGCTACTGGGATGCAAATTGCCTTCGTTTCTGGCTGTCCAGCAAAACAGCGGCCTGGCACTGGGACCAGCCTGGAGCACGCAGATGTGCGACTACTGCAGCGAGGACAGAGGGCAGTCATTTCACTCGTCCATTCAACCTCGGCCTGAACTCTCATAACAAGCCAAATACCACCCCACATGCTTGGTAAGGATTCCACCCTCAGCAAGCTTGCAGGCACGCAGGGTAAGACTATGTAGAGAGAACGATTGTATTTTACATACTGGAAACATGAACTAAAAGGTACTAATGTAAATTCTAAACTACTCAACATGTTCTTTTATTTATCGTTTTCTTTATGTGCCCATATATAAATAGAAATGCCACAGAGATAAATTTTACTCTTTGGTATTAAAAACCTATTCCAAAAGATAAAGTTCAAAACCTTGTTTAAAATGATTTCTATCACTAACATATGTAGCTGAGCTATATTATGTAAGGTTCTTTAAATAACACTCTTGTTCCTAAAGCAGCAACAGCAGCATTCTCAGCCAATTACTTACTGGAAGTAGGCATGAAGCCAGTTCTGCTTTTCCGCTGTCTGGATGCTGTAGGGAAGAGAGCCCCCGGCTTTTGAAAGAAGAAAAATAAAGCAAATAATAACACGGATGCAATATAATTTAAGGATTCTTCATTAAAAAGTATAGTAAACAAAATCTATAGTAAACAACAGTGAGAAAGTTAAAGGGAAAAAAACAAAACTGCTTCCATTATTTCGTCTTAGAAAACACTTCCTGGACAGGAAATGTCTGCACTTGCACTAGCTGTGTCCTCTCAGTGGGCTTCCTTTCTGAGGGATGCGTATTAAATGCAAGTGTTTACTATCTGTAAAGGAAAGGGGTTTCGGGTGCTCATTTAATATCTGCAACAGCACAGACTTGAAATGTTAGAAAGAATCCTGGCCCAAACTGCCGTCCTCATGAGGGCGAGACATCCTTAGCCTCCTTCTGCAAGATGAGGTGTGGAGCGCCTCTGTTTTAGCCTCAGACCAGGACTGTTGGGGCAGAATAGGATGAGAACGCCTAGAACTTGAGAGAAAGATTAGAGCCAGGCATGTTGGAACTGTTCTGAAAGGGCACAGAGCAGTAGGGGCAGCTGGTTTCATCTGGATGACTTGCCTGGACAGCCAATCTGTTGGTGGCAGAGGCTAGAGCAGCCTTATTGGTAGAAACGAGATGAGCAATCATTCAGAGGGTGTCTGTGAGGGTTAAATAACATCCACAACCTGCCACCTGCACCATCTTTGGAACATAACTAGTGCTCAATGTTACCGTGTTCATGATTCTTACCCAGTTAAGAGAAACATCATCTCCGATTTTCTAACCCATACTTTTCTCATCCCAAGGGGGATGAGAAAATTCTTATTTCTTGTTTTTAAAAGTTTGCCAGGGCATTTGTGAAATATACACAAAAAATACAATTGTGGCAGGTTTCCCAACAGTTACCTGGATACCCTTCTAAGCTGGTCCGCACGTTTTCCACAGAAGGATAGATCTAAAAAGAAATACGAAAAATTCCCAATGACACTTGGAAGGTACCATGCTGAAGGAACTATTTGTTAAAAGAAATGCTGATTGGTTTTTAAGAAAATGAAATCTCCATTAAAAATACTGAGAGGCTTATAAAACGTGCTCTAAATTTTAAAAAGTTCCCATTTACAGGAAAAAAACCAGAATTTCTGGTAATTAATCCTATATAATAAAAAGGTAATATGCAAATAGACCGAACAATGGAAAGACCGGTCACTATGATACACACTGACCACCAGGGGGCAGATGCTCAACGCAGTAGTTGCCCCCTGGTGGTCAGTTTGCTCACACAGGGGGAGCACCGCCCAGCCAGAGCCAGGTTCATGGCTGGCGAGTGCAGCAGCGGTGGCAGGAGCCTCTCCCACTTCTGCGGCAGGACTCAGGATGTTCGACTGACGGCTCCGGACTGCGAGAGGGCGCAGGCTGGGCTGAGAAACGCCCCCAACCCCTTCCCGGAGTGTATGAATTGTGCACCGGGCCTCTAGTTTGATGATAAAAAAAGCACACTTTCATTGGAGTTTTTCCTCTGACATGTCACAGTAACACTGAATGGAATGCAAACTTAACTATTAACTCAAAGATGCCTAAGTTACTAATGATGCTCGTAATTCTGCAGGCGATGCCTTTCCAACATCTCTTCCTGGGCTTGACAACCTGGAAGGGCTGACCACTGCTTGCTGGTGGCGGACGCGGAGCTTTGGCCAAACCACACACACCAGCACCCCCAATACGAGGGCCACTCAATTACAAATACCACCATTTCCATCCCAACCCACTGAATCAAACCCTCTCTCTGAGGAGGACTGACCGCCGACTGACTCCTCTCCTGGACGAGAGAACGCAGATGAGGGACTCCAGAGGAGGAGCACTCACCAGATGGAGGGGAGCAGCGCTTCTCCCGGGGACCCTGCTTTCCTTCCCCAGGGTTACCAAGGTCTCTTTGAATTCAGCACACAACCATTTGGATTCGTCAGCCCCCATGGAGCCAATGCTTGAGAACTGGCCGACGACGGGCCAAGCCTCGGCCTTAGGTATGGACGAGGCATGCTCCTTCAGGACCTGTGAAAGGTGACAGTGAAAGCCACAGTCAGGGACCGAAACCCAGGTGTGGGCATCTACCTGCAACGCGGTGCCACTTGGCCAGAGCGCTCTACCTCCCTTAGGTCAGGACCCAGGCAGGGCAACAGGGCCCGGGTGGCGGGCTCAATTCCTCAAGGAGAAGGCGAGCAGGAAGGCAGCTGATCGATGAATC